TGTATGAACTGGATTGTGTGCATCTTCAGTAATAGTAGAGTGAGAACTCTTGAGGTGCCGTTACTTGACTCTGCATCTGAAATTCTCAGAACATTGTGTTCTAGCTAAAGATGCTTTTTTTTACTTTTTTCTCATTTATATGGAAGCTGACAACACTAGGTAAGTGTTGATTGAACCTAGCAGCCAACCACACTGTGATTTCTGGTTTCTGAGTGCTTCCTTGTCTGGAATATGTGATTTGGAAATTTCAGCTTTGCTCTTCTTTCAGTTTAAAGAGAACCTTTCATGGGAGTAATACCTACTCCACCATTCTTCGCACCTTCTGTAAATCATCAGATCTGCCTTTTTTGTTTTATTTTTTGTTAAATATGTATTTATTGAAGCTCAAATTATTATTATTATACAGTATTTATATAGCGCCAAAAAGTTTGCTCAGCGCTGTACATTATAGTGGCGGACAGTACATGAGAAAATACAGTAACAATACACGAGGGGGTTAGTGCTCCTCTAGGAGGGAGGGGATAGTGTACAGGAGGAAATGGCTGGTGGGGGGAGGGAGTGGTAGGAGGAGTGGAGGAGATTGGCTGTTAGGTGAGGGGGGGTAGGCTTCCCTGTAGAGATGGGTTTTCAGGGTGCGCCTAAAGGTGAGGAGGGTAGATGACAGTCTGATGGATTGGGGTAGTGAGTTCTAGAGGATGGGGGAAGTCCTGGAGAAGTCCTGGAGTCGGGCATGGGAGGAGGAGACCAGGAACTGGAGAGTAGGAGGTCTTGTGAGGAGCGAAGGGTACGTGTTGGGTGGTATTTGGATATCAGGTCGGTGAGGTAGTTTGGGGCAGTGTTATGAAACAGCTTTGTAAACGTCAGTGTTAGTAGTTAGTAGCTCATAGCATAAGTTACAATGAGAGAATATGTTGTGTGTGGTGTATAGTATTTATGCAAAGCTGTAGGAAGAAGGACCATGGGAAGAGCAGAATAAAAATGTTGGTGGATAGAAGCTGCCATAACCAATGACTTGTTTGACAGATAGGGGAAAATACAGTATAGTCCTAGAAATACTACTTTAGGAACAAGATAAATTACTTTTAATTACAAACCAATTGATCTAGTGCTGTCTACAGCTAAGTACACACGGGCTGAATATCGGGCAAAAATCAGGTAACATTTAGCCCGTGTGTACAACAGCTGGTCCGACAGAAGCAAGATATCCATCCAGCTTCTGTTGAAGAGACATGGCTGAAAAAGGTCTGCCAATCGGCTTCCGATCAGCCAATGGCTGAGAACACTGATCGGTGTGTTCTGGCAGGTGGCAGTCCCTTTGTCAGAACACAATAGCACAGTGGGGGAGATCGCTGTACTAACACCTTAGTGCAGCAATCGGTCAATTTTTTTCATCTTCACCTGGTCTTCCTTCTGGATGTACTTACCCTCTCACCCATTTGAATGGCCAGGCCGTGGTGACATCACTCCCACACATGCGCACATGAGTCACTATCGTGGCACAGTTCTTCTGACATTCCGTGTGCCTTGAATGCTGAGCGCACGCAACGCACATGCACAGTAACATCATCAGATGGAGCTGATATGAGTATACTAACAGTTCTCCTCCCTGCCAGCTCAGGCACACTGCTTTGGATCACTGTGCACAGCACAGTCATCCAAACCAGTGTGATTACAGTAAAGCACGCTGACGCCGCCCCCGAGTAAAACACTCCCAGCACACAGTTAACCCTTTGATTGCCCCTCATGTTAACCCCTTCCTGCCCAGTGCCATTAGTACAGTGTCAGTGGTTTTTTTTTTTTAGCACTGTTCACTGTATTGGTGTCACTGGGGATGTCAGTGACACCAAATCTGTTCCCCCCAGTGTCAGAATGTCCGCTGCAGTCCCACTATAAGTAGCTGATTGCTGCCTTTACTAGTAAAAAATTTAAAAAAAAAAATCCTAGTATATATACCGCCATTTGTGAATGCTATAACTTTCACGTAAACCAATTAATTTACACGTACTGGGATTTATTTTAGCAAAGACATGTAGCAGAATACATTTTGGTGTGTAAATTTATGACGAAATTTAAATTTTTTTACTGGACATGTTTAATAGCAAAAAGTCACAAATATTGTTTTTTTTCTCAAAATTATTGCACAGGCGATCAAATACCACTGAAAGAAAGCTCAATTTGTAGGAAAAAAAGGACATAAATTTCATTTGGTTGCAGCATTGCATGACTGCGCAATTGTCAGTCAAGGTGACGCTGCGCCGTAATCCAAAAAATAGCCTGGTCAGGAAGGGGGGTAAATTCTCAGGAGGGCAAGTGGTTAAAAAGGAGTGTTGTCTTTTGCAATTTAAGGCCATTTTAACTTTACAGTGGCACTGTTTTGCTGCAGGAGCCCCTAGGGCTCAACCCCTCTTGTGTGGCCTGTGGGCTATTGGGCACCATATGAGAAGCAGAGCAGCAGCAGGATGCTGGACATTGGAATGTTCTCAGTGTACCAGTGCCTGGCACTGAAAGAACTACTGTAGTGTAAAGTCCCAGCCTTGGAAGGGGGAGCGTATGCACTCACTGACACCAATGTTGGAGATTATTATTTCAGTCACTGGCAACAATGTTGGGGGTTGTTATTGCATCCACTGACACCAATGTTGAGGGTTGTTGTGACATCCACTGAAACCAATGTTGGGGGGTTATTATTGCATTCACTGAAACCAATGTTGGGGATTATTTTTGCATTCACTGACACCAGTGTTGGGGTTAATTTTGTATTAATTGACACCAATGTTGGGGGTTGGTATTGCATTCACTGACACCAATGTTGGAGGTTATTATTGGATTCCCTGACACCAATGTTGGATGTTATTATTTCATTCACTGACACCAGTGTTGGGGGTTATTATTCCATTCTCTGACACCAAAGTTGGTGTTATTATTGTGCCCACTGACACCAATGTTGGATGTTATTATTGCGTCCATTAACGTCAATGATGGGAGTTATTACTGCACTCACTGACATTATTAGTGAGGGTTTGTTATTGCATCCACTGACTCCAATTCTGAGGGTTATGAATGCATCCACTGACACCAATGTTGGGGATTAATATGCCTGATGCAATGGAGGCCCTCTCTAATTTTCAAATGGCCACCACTGCTCTAAGGTGTGTTCATTTCACAATCTATAGTAGTAGCACAATATAATATAACTGGACCATTAATATTCCTGGCTATGTTCTCGGAGAATCAGGGTAAAAAGAAAAGGTGGTGGTAGCTGTATCTATGTGAGAAGTGATCTCAGAGTGAGTGTGAAAGAGGACCTAGTTGATGGAAAGTGTGATGAGGCTGAAGCATTATGGGTGGAACTGCACATGGGGGTGCATACTACAAAGGTAATGGTTGGAGTTTGTTATAGGCCTCCCAGTGGTGTTAATGAGGAGGTGGAGACTCAGCTCCTTGCACAGATCAAAAGGGCTGCAAGGGTTGGACGGGGATAATAATGGGGGATTTTAACTACTTGGAAATTGACTGGAGTAATGGCACTACAGGAACAGTTAAAGGACAAAAATTTATAGAGACCTACTACAGGACAATTATATGGTATAGTTCATAGAAGCCCCTAATAGGAATGATGCTCTACTGGACCTGGTAATCTCAAACCATGCAGAGCTTATTACTAATGTCCATACAAAAGAACATCTGGGTAGCAGTGACCATAACATGATTTATTGTTAGCTGTAAATAACAAGCACATATGAGAAAAATAAAAAAAACACTCAACTTGAAGAGAGCTAATTTTCCAAGACTGAGATCTGCTCTCCAAGACTTAAACTGGGAGGGAATATTGTCATTGATGAACACAACACAGAAATGGGAGTTCTTCAAAAAGACTGCATGTGAACATACTGCAAAATATATTCCCATGAGCAACACGTTTAAAAGGCTAAAATCAAACCTATGTGGCTTATGGCCAAAGTTAAAAAAGCTATAGATAGTAAGAAAAAGAGCTTTTATTAAATATAAAAATGAAGGAACGCTATCATCGTTTAAACATTACAAAAAGAATATAACAGAATATGTAAAAAGGAAATAAAGACCACAAAAATTGAAAAGGAACGACAGATTGCAAAAGATAGCAGAACCAACCTCAAAAAATTCTTTAAATATATTAATAGTAAAAAGGTCCGGTCTGAGCATGTAGACCCTTTACAAAATAATCTAGATTGGGTGACTGGGGACAAAGAGAAGCAAATTTATTTAATACCTTCTTCAGCTCTGTGTATACAAAGGAGTATGGGGGAGCTCTTGTCTATAGTGGGCATGGTATTGACACAGCTCCAGATGATCCACATTGGCTCACTATTGATATGATCCAAAAATATGTAGACAGTATAAAGGTGAATAAAGCACTTGGACCGGTTGGCATACACCCACGGGTCCTTAAAGAATTGAGCTCTGTCATTTCAAAGCCATTGTTTGTAATTTTTAGGGACTCTTTAATGACTGGCATAGTACCACTGTATTGGCGTAAGGCCAATGTGGCGCCAATATTTAACCATTTGCCTACCGGGCACTTTATACCCCCTTCCGCCCAGGTCAATTTTCAGCTTTCAGCGCTGTCACACTTTGAATGACAATTGCGAGGTCATGCAACACTGTACCTATATGAAATTTGTATCATTTTTTTTGAGACAGAGCTTTCTTTTGGTGGCATTTAATCACCTCTGGGTTTTTTATTTTTTGCTAAACAAACCAAAATCAACTGAAAATGTTAGAAAAAAATGCTTTTTCTTAGTTTTTGTTATAAAATTTTGTAAATAAGTGATTTTTCTCCTTCACTGATGTGCGCTAATGAGGCTGCACTGATGGGCACTGATAGGCTGCACTGATGGGCATTGATAGGTGGCACTGATGGGCACTGATGAGGAGGCACTGGTAGGTGGCACTTATGGGCATTGACAGGCATCACTGATGGGCACTGAAAGGCAGCACTCATATATGGCACTGATAAGCGGCACTGATAGGTGGCACTGATAGGCGGCACTGACTGGCACTGTTATGTGTCATTGACTGGCACTGTTAGGCAGCACTGATAGGCAACACTGATGTGCACTGATAGTTGGCACTGACTGGCACTGATAGGTGGCACTGACTGGCACTGATAGGTGGCACTGACTGGCAGCACTGATAGGTGACACTGACTGGCATTAATAGGTGGCACTGACTGGCACTGATAGGTGACACTGAAAGGCAGCTCAGATGGGCACTGATATGTGGCATTGATGTGGCACTGATAGGCACTTGCAGGTGGCATTGATGAGCACTGACAGGTGGCACTGCTGGGGCTACACTGATCATCAGGGCACACTGATCATCAGTGCCCTGATGATCAGTGTACATGTCCCCTCTGAGTAATGCCGACTACCGGCTCTCCCCTCCTCACGAGCTGTCAGTGTGACACAGCTCATGAGGAGAGAAATGCCGATGACCAGCATTTCCTTATTTACATGCGATCAGCTTTGATTGGACACAGTTAATCACATGACCGAGCCGATGTCTTTTGCTCTTTCCGTTTATCGGTGATCCGCTGTGTCCGAGGGACACAGCTCACCACTGATCGCTGTGCTGCGCGCTCCTGGAGCCGCGCACGCGCGGTTAGGATGGGAGGACATCATATGAGCGAGAAAGAGAGAACCGCCTTGCGCCCGTCATTTCCTTATATGGTGGGCGGGAGGTGGTTAAAAAGGGGTCAAAATCTTTACCAAGTAATTATAGACCTGTTAGTTCAACTTCTATAGTTGGGAAGATACTGGAGAGTTTAATAAAAGACCACATAGATGAGTTCTTGGTGGAAAAAAATATTTTAAGCAACAGACAGCATGGATTCATGAAAGACAGAAGTTGTCAAACAAATCTGATTTCTTTTTATGAGGAGGTAAGCAAAACCTTGGACAGAGGGGTGGCGGTGGACGTGGTATACTTGGACAGAGGGGGTGGCGGTGGACGTGGTATACTTGGACAGTGGCGGGGGTGGCGGTAGACGTGGTATACTTGGATTTTGCAAAAAGCATTTTACTCAGTTCCCCACACATGGCTAATGTGTAAGGTAAAGTCTACAGGCTTAGAGAAATCTGTGTGTAAATGGATAAAAAACTGGCTAAAAGATGGTATTCAGAGAATAGTGGTTAATGATTTATACTCTGAATGGTCTAGGGGTCATCAGTGGTGTACCCCAAGGTTCAGTGTTGGGACCCTTACTTTTTAATATATTTATAAAGGATATAGGGATTAAAAATCCCATTTCAGTCTTTGCAGATGACACCAAGCTGTGCAGTGGAATAACGTCCTTACAGGATGTCTCCAACTTACAAGCCGACCTCAATGCACTGTTTAATTGGGCAACTATGTGACAAATGAGGTTTAATGTTGATAAATGTAAGGTTGTGCACTTGGGGGCTAAGAATATGCATGCATCATACATACTAGGGGGAGTACAACTGGGGGAATCAATGGTGGAGAAGGATCTGGGGGTTCTGGTAGATTACAAGCTTAATAATGGCATGCAATGCCAAGCTGCGGTTTCTAAAGCGAGCAAAATCCTCTCTTGTATTAAAAGTGATGTAGACTCGAGAGAAAGAGATATCATTCCCCCGGTACAAATCATTAGTAAGGCCTCATCTGAAATATGCAGTTCAGTTTTGGGCACCAATTCACAAAAATAACATTGGGGAACTGGAGAAAGTACAGAGAAGGGCAACCAAACTGATAAGAGGCATGGAGGAGATCAGCTATGAGGAAAGATTAGAGGAACTGAATTTATTCTCTCTTGAGAAGAGGAGATTAAGGGGGGATTTCATCAACATGTATAAATACATCAGTGGTTTATATAGTGAACTCGGTGTAGAGTTATTCACCCTGAGGTCATCACAGAGGACAAGGGGCACTGTTTATGTCTGGAGGAAAAGAGATTTAATACGGAAAGGTTTCTTCACAGTAAGAGCTGTGAAAATGTGGAATAGACTCCCTCAAGAGTTCTGGCCAACTCAGTGGATTGCTTTAAAAGAGGCCTGGATTCTTTCCTAGATACACAGAATATAACTGCATACTAACATTTATAGGTATCCAGAGAATATCTGATTGCCTCTTGGGGGATCAGGAAGACATTTTTTCCACTGCAGGAGCAAAATTGGATCATGCTTTGCTGGGTTTTTTGCCTTCCTCTGGATCAATTATGGGTATAGGATTATAACATTTTTTTTTGTTGGTTGAACTGGATGGACTTTTGTCTTTTTTCAGCCAGACTAACTATGTAACTATGTAACTACATTCTGTGCATGTCTTCAACTGCCTTCTCTTAAGGATCTGTCTTTGTTTTTGTAGGAAAAATTTGAATCCCTTTTCCGAGCGTATGATGATTGCGTCACCTTACAACTATTCAAGAGTTTCAGACGGGTCCGGATAAACTTCAGTAACCCCAAGGCAGCAGCACAAGCTAGGATAGAGCTCCATGAAACACAGTTCAGAGGGAAGAAACTAAAGCTATATTTTGCACAGGTATGGATTTTTTTCATTTCAAGCTTTTGTAAACTACATTTATAGATACTTACATGTGTACCAAGATTAATGAAGAACTCCCGTGCCAAAGTTAAGCCCCATCTGTCCCAACGCCACCAAATGACCCACTAAGATCTGAAGGAGACCTTTAGGTCAGTTCACATTCACTTTAAGGGAACATGTTTTCGGCCAAGTTTGTCATTTTCAATGTACTACAAAAATCACTGTGGATGTGCCCATAGCTCCCAGTTTTATCCTACAGTGTATGAGATTGAGATTTAAAGAGTCAGACCCTTGAAGAAAGTTGTTCAGGTATAGGTTGGTTCTGGTAGACTGAGCTACACACTGGCTTCTTATGTCTCTTAATAAGTCCAGTAGCAGCAGCTCCTTGCAATGGTTAATGGCTTGGTCCCGGCATTCTTTGGAGGTACCTTTTTCTCTCACTCGCCTTAACCACTTGCCGCCCAGCCACCGCATATAAACGGCGGCAGGGCGGCACTCGTAGGCAAAAGCACGTTTTAAAACAGCTGCCTTCAAAATAGGTAGGGGGCGCTCACGAGGCGCGCGCCCGCCCTACCTGTCCCGCGGGTGTCAGCAGCTGGTGTCAGCCGCCGGGTCACGGCCGGTTTTTACCGGCCGCTTTCCCGCGATTGCCGGTGATTACTGACACAGAGCAGGGCTGCATTGATTACACACAGCCCTGTTCTGTGTCAGTTCTCTGACAGCTTGTGAGAAGCTGCAGAGTTTCTCTCCCTCGATCAGCTCCCCCCTCCCTCCCCCTCATCCAGTACACACCCCCGCCCCCTAGTAAAACACTCCCCTTACACAGCAAATTCTAAAAATGTTAAACCCTTCCTCCCCAGTGACATTAGTACAGTTTCAGTGTTTTTTTTTTCACTGATCACTGTATTGGTGTCACTGGGGATGTCAGTGACCCCAAGTCAGTTCCCCCCCCCAGTGTCAAAATGTCCGCCGCAGTCCCGCAGTCCTGCCATAAGTCGCTGGTCGCCGCCATATGTCGCTGATCGGCACCATTATTAGTATAAATAAAAATTAAAAATTCCAGTATCTTTCCCACCATTTGTAAACGCTATAACTTTCAATTAATTTACACGTATTGCGATTTTTTTTTTACCAAAGACATGTCGCAGAATGCATTTTGGCAGAAATTTATGACTAAATTTGATTTTTGCATTTTTTTTACTGGACATGTTTTATAGCTGAAAGTAAAAAATATTGTTTTTCTTCAAAATTTTTGGCCTTTTTTTGTTTATAGCGTGAAAAATAAAAAGCGCACAGGTGATCAAATTACACCGAAAGAAAGCTCTATTTGTGTGAAAAAAAGGACGTAAATTTTGTTTGGGTGCAGCATTGTATGACCGCGCAATTATCAGTTGAATTAGTGCAGCGCCGAGTAGCAAAAAGAGGCCTGGTCATTAAGGGGGGTAAATCCTCAGGAGCTCAAGTGGTTAAGAAAGTCCTAAGAACATTGCAGCAGGTATGGAAGCACCAAGCGCTCACCAGCAAAGTCCATCAGAGATCTAAAAAAGCTTCAGTGGTACAACTCTATCGCAACTACCCAAACACAAAAATATTACTTTTGCTCTTTAAAGAAAATGCAAAACATCTGTCCCTTGAGAATCTAAATTTGAACTCCAAGGTGACACTGGTGGCCAATGTTTCCATCCGAGTAGTGGATGTGGATGTAGTAGAGAATTACAAGTATCTAGAGGTACACATAGATAATAAGCTGGACTGGAGCAAGAACACTGAAGTGTTCTATAGAAGGCCCAGAGCCGCCTCTATTTTTTGAGGAGGCTGCGGTTTTTTTAACATCTGGCAGAGGATGTTTAAGATGTTTTATGAGTCTGTGGTGGCCAGTGTTCTCCTGTATGCAGTGTCATGCTGGGGAAGCAGACTTAGTGTAGTGAACACCAACAGACTCAATAAATTGATTCGCAAGGTCAGGGATGTTGTTGGATTAGAGTTGGAGTGGAGAATGTTGTTCATGGTATGTTCAATCTTAGACAACTCCTAACAGCCATTCCACAATATGCTGGTCAGTCTGAGTAGTACCTCTAGTGCTAGATTGGTACAACCACGATGCACTACAGAGCTACACAGGAAATTATTTTTGCCTGTGGCCATCCAATTATAAAAATCTTCTCTGTGAGTGCTGGATGTGAGGATTTAATCCACTTTATGATGCAGATTTTTATGTAGTTATTATGTTATGTTGTTCTTAGGTTAACAATGTGTAATGATTTTTGGGTAATGTTACAATAAGTGGTGTAATTTGCATGTTGGTAGTTTTATTTTCTATTATTTTTTTCAATCAATGTTATTTATCCTATGTAGTATTTTAATAGGATGGTATGGTTGATTACAGTACAGTATTAATTAAGGTTTTATGTGGTAATATTTGCTGTTATTGGTAATCTTGTTGTAGTGCCTTGTTATTGTAATTTTTTGTGTTGTCTTGTTGAATGTAATTGTACCTTAGTCATTTCCCTTTGAGATTAATAAAGTATTTTTAATAGGAATTATTCTTCTATTTTTATAGTAAGTAAAATGGTGCTGAGTGATAGATGGAAGTGAAAGTATCAGTTTCCCCGTAACATCCAATGATTGTCTTTCATTTTGTAACCTTAATAAAAAAAAGCATAGGCTTGAAACTGGATCCTTATCTCCTCCCTTTTCTGCATCTCCATAACTTCTCCCTATATCCTTCCCTTCGTCTTCTCCATAACCTCTCCTTATCTCCTCCCCTTCGTCGTCTTCATAACTTCTTCTTATCTCCTTCCTTTCCTCGTTTCCATAACCTATTCTTAGCTCCTCCCCTTCCTCATCTCCATAACTTCTCCTTAGCTCCTCCCCTTCCTCATCTCCATAACCTCTCCTTAGCTCCTCCCCTTCCTTATCTCCATAATCTCTCCTTATCTCCTCCCCTTCCTCATCTCCATAACCTCTCCTTATTATTATATATATTATTATTATACAGGACTTATATAGCGCCGATAGTTTGCTCAGCGCTTTACATTATGGAGGGAGACAGTACAGTAACAATACAGTTCAATACAAGAGGGATTGGAGGGCCCTGCTCCTTGGAGCTTACAATCTTATCTCCCCCCCTTCCTCGTCTCCATAACTTCTCCTTATCTCCTTCACTTTCTCATCTCCATAACCTTTCCTTAGCTCCTCCCCTTCCTCATCTCCATAACCTCTCCTTACCTCCTTCCCTTGGTCGTCTTCATACCTTCTTCTTATCTCCTTCCTTTCCTCGTTTCCATACCCTATCCCTAGCTCCTCCCCTTCATCTCCATAACCTCTCCTTATCTCCCCCTCTTCCTCATCTCCATAACCTCTCCTTATCTCCTCCCCTTCCTCATCTCCATAACCTCTCCTTATCTCCTCCACTTCTTCATCTCCATAACCTCTCCTTATCTCCTCCCCTTCCTCATCTCCATAACCTCTCCTTATCTCCACCCCTTCCTTGTCTCCATAACCTCTCCTTATCCCCCCCCCTTCCTCAACTCTATAACCTCTCCTTATCTCCTCCCCTTTCTCATCTCCATAACCTCTCCTTATCTCCACCCCTTCCTCAACTCCATAACCTCTCCTTATCTCCCCCCCTTTCTCATTTCCATAACCCTATCTTGTGCATAGGAAGAGGGGCACAGTAAGTTTAGTTTTCAGGCAAAAGATTTTTTTGGCACCTATTAAACAGATATAATAAAACACTCTCAGTGGTATATTTTGCAGACCAAAAGAGAGCAAATATGTGAAATTCATTATTAAGGTTTACATACCCTTTACTATAAATGATCTAATTTCCCATATGCAGGTGCAAACAGCAGAGACAGATGGAGACAAACTACACCTGGCCCCACCCCAGCCATCTAAACAGTTCCTCATCTCACCTCCTGTGTCACCTCCAGTTGGCTGGCAGCCCATAGATGACGCCACACCAGTAATCAATTATGACCTTCTTTATGCAGTGGCCAAGCTTGGCCCAGGTAAGGATCCTTTCATGTCTCAGAGGACAGAACTAACTAAATGTTCATGTTTTTCATCTATGTGAGCAACCTGATGTGTTCATCGAAAATGACTCTTTCGAGCAATCATTCTGGAATTTAGGAGGAGGGAAGGGCAAGGTGAGGGTGGGGTAGGCTTCCCTGAAGAGGTGGGTTTTGGGAATTTCAGTAGATATTGGGGTAAAAGAGGATACCTGGAGAAGTCTTCCCAAAAAAAACCAGATAAAGGTCCTTGAAGAGCGAAGGGTAAACGAAAATGATTTCATATTTCTAGATATAAAAATATCAAAAAAACAGAGATTATCATAAAATCCTGCTTAACCAGTTCCCACCTGACCTATAGCAATTTGACTTTCACCATTCCATGTGGACATCATATGACGTTCTCCCAGAACAAGCCTTGTGTGCAGCCGTACTGCTGGACCGATGACTGATCATTGTACAGGCCTGCTGCCAGTACCATGTGATCGTTGTGACCAATCACAGTAGATTACATGACAATTGTAAACAATGAATGGCTTCGATTCATGCCATTCATTGTTACAATTTAGTTTAGTTTTGTTGTTAGCTGTGATTGGTCACAGTGATCACATGGCACAGATAGGGCCAATCATAACTAATCGAAACAAAACAAACTGAATGAATCTATTTCATTCAGTAAAATGCTTGCTTATAGCAGTGAAATTAATTGCTATAAGCAATCATAATGTGTACTTCCCCAGATTAGTACAGTGTTACTATGGTAACATTATATTACTCTGGTCACAGTGTGTTAAAAAAAATTGTAAAAAAAAGAAAAAAAAATTGTAAATAATTAAATAAAAAAACATTTTTATTTTTGTTTTTCATACTGTCACCACTCTGATCACTGCCACACCAGCTTTTTTTTAATTCCTTCAAAAAATTATGACCAAAAATGACAACTTCAAAAACTTGCCATGCCTCTTACTAAATACCTGGACTGTCTACTTTCCAAAAAGTGTAATTTGGGAGATATCTGTATTGTCCTGACATTTTTGAGCCTCAAGAAATTAGATAGACCATCAGTACATCAGGACTGATCAATTTTCAGATATATACCATAGTTTGTGCACTCTATAAACTTTTCTACAGACTAAATAATAAACACTGATTTAGGTTAATTTCACCAAAGAAATGTAGAAAAATACATTTTGGTCCAAATTAATAAAGAACAATTATTTATTTGCAAAATAAACAAAGAAAAACATGTTTCTCCCAAAATATTCTGGCTTTTTTTGTTTATTTAGCACAAAATAAAAAAACCCAGTGCTGATTAAATACCACCAAAATCTCTATTTGTGTGAAAAGAAAATTATAAAACATTTTGAGTAAAGTGTTGCATGACTGCAGCATTGTCACTTAAAGTGCGAAAGCTGAAAATTGGCCTGGGCAGGAAGGGGGTAAAAGTGCCCGATACTGATGTAGTTAAAAAAAAAGTTGGTACACACATCATTTTGTGTTCCATATCATTACCATTACCTCCATTTGAACCCCACCATTTACATAAGATATGATTATCAGTATAATGAAAATGTCACAAATTCTTTTTATTGCTGTATAATGAGAGTACAGTAGTATCTTGATGCAAGTAATTTTATACTGATAATAATATGTTATGTAAATGGTGGAATACACATGGAGGTACTAACAATAATGAATACAAATTAAGTGTTTGCCAGCATTTTTATACAGGATTTTATGATGTTCTCCTAATAAAATGTGAATGTTCTATATTAACTTTTTGTAGAAGATTTATATTTTTGTACCTAGAAAGCCTCGATGTCCCCTGTTCTACAATGGAAATACTTAGGAGTCCCCCAAGTGAGATATTCCATGGGCAAAGAATTGTTTTATGTATTGATGGTTGCATTGACATAGGGTGGATTTACTAAAGCCAAGTAAACTGTGCACTTTGCGTGCAGTTGCACTCTCTTTCCTTAGTAAATATAATGTAGTGTAGCGCTACCCCCAAAGGAGCCGCTGGTGATTGGGCCTATTTGCCCCCTTTACAGCACCCACAGCCAGGCACACTATATTTTTTGGTACACTTCCACAAGTTCAATAATCTGTCTAGGGGTTTTGTTTTTTGGTGTTTTTCTTGGAAACGATAAACTTGGATAGGGATGGGTCCATGGGATACCCCGAATTGTTAAACTGTAGAACTTGAACAACTCGAAGACTGCCAAATCTGGTTGCTCTGTACAGGTTGCAAGTGTACTGCACAACCTTGGGCTGCAATGTACTTTATCTCAGCTTTATGCAGTGGTAGTAGTAGTAGTAAGACTCCTGGCTGTATTGCACTGCTCCTTGCTGTACTAAGCTCAGTCTCTGAGAAATGGTGTGCTACTATTTGACTTGCACAACTCCTAGCTGCACCCGGTCCTGACTTGTAGTATATTGCACCCTATAATTACTTCTCCTTTAAATGGCTGGATTACCCACTCAGTCACAGACCATGGAGCCTCGTCACTCCAGAACTCCTGGCTGACTTAGCAGTGACCCAAACTGTCTCCTTCTCTGGTAGGGTCCTCAACTAAGCCTAGCTGAGACCTTCATGGCTGTATTGGATTCCTCACCTCTCTACTTCCTTCCATTCTCCCCCTGGGGCAGAGCCCATAGCCCAGGCGTCTCCACCAAATGTCTGGACCCTGGACTCTGCTCCCAGTCCTTGCAGTATTTATGGGTTTTCCCTCTACCTACTGGGCCTGTCTCCCCAGGGACTGGCTTGAGACCCAAAAAAAATATTCAGCTGCTCTTCCTCCCATAATACTTCTAGAACACTCTAGAAGACGGGGAAGTGGAAGACCAGTAACCTGTGAGACACAGCATAGCTCCCAAAACAATTTCCCAAGCTCCTCTGCCTACAGGGGAGCCAACTAAATTTAACTAGCAACCTACCAAGCTAGGTGGGTGCTACATCAGTAAAGCTTCACTTTGTAAAGAATACCCAGTCAGGTGCAAATAAAATTTAAAAAAAAATGCATTTTACTTGCACATGATTGTGTGATGGAAATCAGCAGAGCTTTACCACATTTACTAACCTCTAGGGAAAATGAGGCAACTGCTCTTCCAAGGTGGACAGTCTATTAATCCTATACCCACAGTTGATCCAGAGGAAGGCAAAAAAAAAACACAGCAAAGCATGAACCAATTTGCTCCTGCAGGGGAAAAAAAATTCCTTCCTGATCCCCTGAGAGGCAATTGGATATTCCCTGGATCTACTTTACCTATAAATGTTAGTATCCAGTTATATTCTATGTATCTATCTATAATCCAGGCCTTTTTTAAAGCAATCCACTGAGCTGGCCAGAACCAACTCTTGAGGGAGTCTATTCCACATTTGCACAGCTCTCACTCTGAAGAAACCTTTCCGTGTTTGGAGATTCAATTTCTTTTCCTCCAGATGATGTAGATGTGACACTCAAATAAGCACATCTTCTATCACACTCCAGTGGATTTCTCTTTACTTTGAAAGGCATTGGTGACCAATAGACCAACATCTTGACCAATGGTTATAATGGCCGGTTTTTGAATATTCTATTTTTTACACAGACAGTACTTTAGTGTCCCCCACATCGTATATCTGTTTTACTCTAAAGATTAAGACTTTCTTTCTGTTAGGCTACAATTATTTCTAAAGACTGGCACCCCTGTCTCCTGCAACACCCTAAAAATAATAAAAAAGGTGCTGGATACAAGTTTTCAGCAGGTAAGTCATATTATCACAAAGCACAAAAGCAGTAGTTTGGCAGCTCCCCACAAAATGGGGATGTAGTGATGACATTTCACGTGTAAATGGTCCAATAACTGCTTCAACACAAATATCTAGCAATGCAAAAACATTCAGTGGTAGAACTGATTCATGACAAGGGCAAAAAAAATACAACCATTGCATTTAGGGGGTCAAGCAAACTCCTTCTTCTTTAGGGCTAAAGAACAGACACAAGATACTGTATACACTCACTAGCCACTTTATTAGGTACACTTGTTCAACTGCTTGGTAACACAATCAGCCTAATCAGCCAATCACATGGCAGCAACTCAATGCATATAGGCATCTAGATGTAGTGAAGACTGCTTGCTGAAGTTCAAACAGAGTATCAGAATAGGGAAGAAAAGGGATTTAAGTGACATTGAATGTGGCATGATTGTTGGTGCCAGACAGGCTGGTCTGAGTATTTCAAAAACTGCTGATCGACTGGGATTTTCACACACAACCATCTATAGGGTTTACAGAGAATGTGGTCCGAAAAAGAAAAAATATCCAGTGAGTGGCAATTGTGTGGGCGAAAATGCCTTGTTTATGTCAGAGGAGAATGGGCAGACTGGTTCGAGATGATTGAAAGGCAACAGTAACCCATGTCAATATGGACCAAAATCGTTGAGGAATATTACCAACACCTTGTTGAATCTATACCATGAAGTATTAAGGCAGTTCTGAAGGGAAAAGGGTGTCTAAGCCGGTACTAGCATGGTGTACCTAATAAAGTGGCCGGTGTATGTATATATTGTATAAGCATACAAATACATTTTTATTTCGATATCTATACCTCTGAATGTGGTTTTTCACATTCTATATACTCTATTTGTATATACTGTTTTATATATATTGGTGTGTGTGTGTGTTTAGGGTCTGCCCCTGAAACATGTTGGCTGTTTTGTTTTGCTCTTATGAATCAATTTTATAAAGAAGACATATTGGACTCCTGAATATTTGTATGGCACTCTTATCGGACTGTTCTGATGTGGAATCTGGGTGACCCCTATTCTTAGGGGGGACCCCCAATTTTTAGGGAGCTGCTGAACTAGAGGTATTGTGCCTGGTGAAAATTAGACTTTTCTACTAAAAACTTGTATCCAATGTCTCGTTTTTATCTTTCTTTGGATGTTGAGGGAGTCGGGTGCAACTTTTTAGATAAATAATTGTAGCCTAACAGAACTCCTGCAACATCCTGAGTTGTGTTTGAACTCTGAGGCTGCCTAAACATTTCCTGGACCCACTCACCATGTGCCACATTCCATAACA